TTGTACCATTATTTTTATGACTTCAAAAGTAGAGAGAAGAGTACAGATCAAGGCAGCATGGCAAATACTCACTTTTTTTTTTATATATATATATAATTCTCCCTTCTAGTTCTCACTAATTCCACCCACTGGTAATAGCTGAAGGCATACACCCAAATCAGTGACTCATGGCACAAGACCACAGTCCAAACAGTCACTGACTGGGTTCTCAAAGCAGTGCTGTTCAAGAATTGCAATGTTCCATTCCTGGACCTGAACTGCCTTTGCTTAGCCCCAAAAAAAACAATAAATACCCCCTCTCCCCCTCCCAAAAAAAAAAACCTAACCAAAAACCACCCAAAAGAAAAAACAACAACAAAACCAAAAAACCACCACTGACAACAGGTGTTTCTTTAGTTCTCAGGAAAAAAATTGGAAAAAAAGAAATTTCCCCCTTGGTGCTCCCAGACGTTCCCTGTAGCCCAGCACAGCAGCACAGATGTGAGGAACATTCTTCCCACTCCTGCTTCTTCCCCAGGTAACTCCCCACAACCAGAAACACAAGACAGAACTCTCCAGGCAATTTACAGTTTTGAGACTGGCCCACCTCCTCTCCATGTGTTCTGGAAACCTCCAAGGGTTTTAATTCCAACTTCACTTTTTCTGGTCTATATTTTAAGTAAGAAAGGTTTTCCCAGGTTTTTCAAAGGAGTCATTTAACAGCTGTTTGGGAACCTTTATTTTTTTTACCTCAATGCCAACCTCCCAGACACATTATTTATAATAGGCTGTCTTTCTTAATACTTGCTATTAGTCAAAAGAGTGCTTAGTAAACACCTTAGCTGTCCAATCTTCACATCCTTTAAATAATGGGGTGGGTTCAGAAAGGATAAGCTCTCAAAGCAGGACTCTGCTCACCTTGTAAAGAGCCACAAACACCCTGATACAGCACATTTCCCATCGTCTTCCAGGTTCTATAGCTACTGATTTGTATCTTCAAAGATGCATTAAAATGTGACATGAAAGACCTCCCAGAGAGCACAAGAGAGCATCAGTTATTTGAATCCTATTCTACCTACAGTAGGTCTTCCAGCTCTCCAAAACAGGTATGTGCTGGAACACCTAATCCCATGTGGGACTGAACATGTATGTTCAGGACACCCACTACACAAGGAACATTCACGTGCCAGGGCTCATCTGCCTGATCACTGGATTTTTAGTTGAGTTAAATGCTCTGCTGTTAACACCATTTCCAATGTAGGTTAGGTGGTCAGGAGCAAAATGCAAATGTGGGTCTGTGTCAGTTTAATCACTTTTTTTTTATTCTGATAAGACCTGTCAGTTCAGGTTTCAAGGAAGGCTGGACAAAAGAGGATCATCAACAGAAGGCAAAAAATGTAGCCACGGGAAGGTGAGTGCAGGCTCACCTCTTCAGAAGGAATGTGGGAACTACCTGGACCCCAAACTGAAAATGGTGTCACCTTGGCCAATTCCTTCCTCCTAGAGAAGCCCAAAACACAGGCACTGCAACAAGCCTGGGAGTGTCAGCCACTTTCTCCTGCTTTCCACTAAAACTATAGAAAGGGCTGTGATGCTTCTGTGACCTCTTGTAAAAGAGACAACAAGCATTCACCTTTTGGTGAAGGGGGAGCGGGCAGCAGTGACAGATAAAAGCCTTCCTTTACCTTCTCTCCCTGGGCTACACAAAGCAGTATTAGATTCAATTTTACAGGTCCAACAATGCTCCATGTGGGTCGGGATAAGGCCCCGGTCCTTCCCTCCCCCACAGCCTCCCCTTGAAACTCCGCGCAGGTTTGCAAGATCAAAGGCAGGCACCTCCATTACCCTCTCTTCCATTTTGTTGGGCAAGAGATACTGCTATTGCACAAAAAAGCGTGTGTGTGCACAGATATAAATATATATATTTCTATATATATAATGCAGAGAGGAATTTTATCAGCGCCTGGGCACCACCAGCCCGGGGCAGCAACAGGGGGTAGGTAGGCGGGGGGGCGGCTCCACTTTGTTCTCCTCCGGGTGCAGGATCTCTCGCCGTGCCCCCTTCCAAACCCGCCTCCAGCTGGGAGCCGCTCCCGGGCACATCCCGGAGGCAGCGGGGCCGGGCCACCCCCGGGGGGGCGCGACCCCCGCGCCCGCCGCCCCCTCCCCGCGCCCGCCGAGCGGGACCCGCCCATGGCCGCGGCAGCCCCGGCACCGGCGGGTGCGCGGCGGGCGGG